CACCCCCTCCCTTACCACCCACTCCACCCCCTCCCTCTCCTCCCCTCAATACCCAGCAGAAACTATTTTGCCCTTATTTCTAATTTTGTTGTAGAGTGAGTATAAGCAATAATAGGAAGGAACAAGGGGTTTTGCTGGTTGAGATAAGGATAGCTATACAGGGCATTGACTCACATTGAGACAATTGAGAAAGCATCATAGACAGTGAAAAATAAGATACCTTTGGGATGTGCCTGCCTCAAAAAATGGTTTATTGCTTTCAGAAATTATTTGTGTTGCTCTTGGTCCCAGGTTATTCTACAGAGTAAGTAAAACTCAGAATGTCCTGAGCAATAGGAGTGTATTTGGTTGTTTATCCTTGGCTCTTATTAGGTGGTATTGATATGGCAGTAGTGAGATGGTGCACAGTGCCATCACCACATAATTTAAAGATGCTATGCTGCTGGGGTTTCATTGAGAAAGTTCTTACCTATACCTACTAACTCCAGAGTATTTCCTACTCTTTCCTGTATCAACTTAAGAGTTTGAGGTCTGACATTAAGATCCTTGATCCATTTTGAGTTAATCTTGGTATAGGGTGATATACATGGATCTAGTTTCAGTTTTTGGCAGACTGATAACCAGTTTTCCCAGCAGTTTTTGTTGAAGAGGCTGCTATTTCTCCATTGTGTATTTTTAGCTCCTTTGTCAAAGACAAGTTGGTTATAGTTGTGTGGCTTCATATCTGGGTCCACTTGATCTTTCCTGGATATGTGCTTATTTATTGTGTTGTTTCTGAAATGTTGGAATGGCAAAACTCATTTAATTTTGTCTAGTATTAAACAGGATTTATGTTTTGATTACATTTTGTTTGTGTTCAATAGCCCTGATATTGAACACATTAAGGTGTGGTCTTTTGTTGTTCTTGTTTTGTTCTTTTTCCAATTTCAAAGTGCAATTGGATCATAGTCGATGAAATAGACAATAGAATCCATGTTTCTTTGTTTTTCTTTAAGATTTGTCCTTGGCACAGGTTACTCCATGTTTATAGCGGCACTATTCACAATAGCTAAGTTATGGAAATAGCCAAGATGCCCCACCACCAATGAATGGATTAAGAAAATGTGGTATCTATACACAATGGAATTTTATAAAGCCATGGAGAAGAATGAAATATTATCATTTGCTGATAAATGGATGGAATTGGAGAACATCATTCTGAGTGAGGTTAGCCTGTCCGAAAAGACCAAAAATCGTATGTTCTTCCTCATATGTGGACATTAGATCAAGGGCAAACACAACAAGTGGATTGGAGTTTGAGCACATGATAAAAGCGAGAGCACACAAGGGAGGGGTGAGGATAGGTAAGACACCTAAAAACTTAGCTAGCATTTGTTGCCCTTAATGCAGAGAAACTAAAGCAGATACCTTAAAAGCAACTGAGGCCAATAGGAAAAGGGGACCAGGAACAAGAGAAAAGGTGAGATCAAAAAGAATTAACCTAGAAGGTAACACACACACACAGGAAATTATTGTGAGTCAACTCCCTGTATAGCTATCCTTATCTCAACCAGCAAAAACACTTGTTCCTTCCTATTATTGCTTATACTCTCTCTTCAACAAAATTAGAGATAAGGGCAAAATAGTTTCTGCTGGGTATTGAGGGGGTTGGGGAGGGGGAGGGGATGGAGTGGGTGGTAAGGGAGGGGGTGGGGGCAGGGGGGAGAAATGACCCAAGACTTGTATGCACATATGAATAACAAAACAATAATAAAAAAATTGTCCTTTGAACTGGAGGGAACTTTATTAACAAATTGCTCAGAAACATAGCTGATTGCACCCCTTGCTCACTAACCTTGATCACTGTGTCAAGCAAAGCTCTGAGGTTCTTTTAGGTAATCCTCTACTCCTCCACACATGTCCACTTCACTACACCACCAAATTGCCCCCGAGTAACTGAAGACTCTGACTACGTCTTAAGGACAAATCCTTCCCTGGTTTGCTCTGTCCTGACAGGCTCTGTCACACATTTTTGACCATGGACGTGGGCATTTGGGATCTGAAGCTAGGCTCTCAAGTTATTTAGTGCTATTTTAGTTATTTTTCATGTAGGGCCTCCCGTTTTGACTATGGCTGCCTCATACCTATAATCCTTCCACAGAAAACTCCCATGGAGGTGGAATTATTTGCAAATACTGAGATGATGCTACATTAAGTTTTTGCCCAGGTTAGTATCAAACCATGATCCTACCAATATTTGTCTCCCATGTAGATGAGTTGACAGGAATCTGCCACCACAGTGCAGCACACATTACGGTATTTCTGAATTACTATTTGATCCTCGTCATGATCATCAAAGTTTACAAAAACGAACTCCATTTTTTTTTGCATTTTCATAGTTTTTAAAAAAATTTTTATTTTATTCATATGCGCATACAATGTTTGGGTCATTTCTCCCCCCTTTCTCCACTCCCTCTCTCTCCCCCCCATCCCCTTGCTACCCAGCAGAAACTAACAAACTCTCTTTTGTTGCATTGCGTCTGAAAATGTGACTTCAGGCACTTCATTTTTTCCATCCTTTACAAATCCTCTTATAATTGATAATTTTCAGCATCTTTTTAATGATACCAGAAAGATGTATTACACATTTTTTGGTGGAATTGGATTTTGAACTCAGGATATTGAATTGTAATGCTGGAGCTCTACTTCTTCATCCACACCTTCTCACATTTAAGAGATGACTTGGATTTGGAGAATACTCTCTTTTGTCAGCTCTCTGTGGTTGTAAACCTCTTCCTAAAGCAATTGACATTATTCATTCTGAACAAAAGAATGAAAATTGACTATTATTTACAGACTATATCACATGAGCACTAGTACTGAAATAATTGCAATGAGTTTTTGGGAAGAAGGAAAAGGTGGTTAGAAATAAAGATCCCAGAAAGAAAGTGTACTGAAAAGAAGTAAGTGAAGATACACTAAATCTTTTCTTTCCCTTGGGAATACTGGGTTTTAAAATTAGGGCTTCTAACTTGCTAAGCACATGTTCTAACACTTGACCCATGCCTCCTGTCTGCAAAATCATTTATTCACTTTTGTTATCATATACAAATGTAAGTACTGGGTACTTACAGTGGCTGAGAGGCAAATGATGAATGAGAGCAACTGAATATGGTATGGAAGAGGAGACACTGGAGTATCTCATGAAACCTGCATTGATACTGACCCTGTGTAATGTTATGTAAAATTATACTGCAAGAATTTGATGTGCCTGCTGAGGAAGTGCTAGGCCAAAGTTCAAATGTCAGAATCACAAAAATGTGGATGAAAGACTCAGTTGCATTGCTACAGTTTAAATTCCAGCCACTGGGGAGGATGTTGAACAAAGATTATCAATTGGATGCCAGTCAAGGTTATTTACTGAGACCCTGTCTCAAAATAAAAATACATAGGGATGTAGCTCATGAATGCACAGTTTTTCTACCAATTACAAATTCTTGGGCTAAACCCAAAGTTACACACACACACACACACACACACACACACACAAACTGCATTAACATAAACTGAAAATATACATTGCAAAGGGAAAGAACATAACAAATTAAAATGTAGTAAAAATATATTTGATATGCTAATAATAAGAACTAAGTAGAATACAGGGAAAGCACAATGAAATGGGAACTTGAGACAGGGTCTGGTGGCTCCCACCTATATAATCTTAGCTATTTTGGAGACAGTTGTAGGAGGTCTAGGTTTCCTACCACATTATTGCCATATTTGCCATGTGTCTGCTGGAGAATTGTCAGGTTTCCCTGCTCCAGTAGCTGTGTGAAATTTTGGGACTGCATGACCATAGGGAGGTCACCTGGTAGTATCACAAGAGGGAAATGCTGAGAGAGTGGCTGGGCATCTGCCATGCTGGGTTGAGGGACTTTTGGAACCAGAAGCAATGGTGGTTTTGACTGTGCCCTGCCTTGTGGGTTCCACAAACTGTTCCCTGATCACATTGTTGGTCCTTAGGTCCTCTACCACCATAGGGTGGTGGTGGTGGTCTGGGGGCCTTTAACCCACTCCTATGTCTCTGTGAAGCAGCTTTATTCCAGCTCACAGCCCTGCTGGGAGTTTCAGCCTGCAAATCCCTATCTGTCTGACTGAGGTGGCTGGGGATGCCACCGTGTACTTATGCAGTTTGTGCTGGGTCAAGGCCCTCCTTTGCAGTGTTCCTGTAACTCCTTACTGTCTTCCCTTCAGACCTTCAGGTTCAAGGGAAACATGGGCTAAACTCTATTCTCGGTTTCCAAAATCCAGTGCTTCTTAGTGCTGCTAATAAGTCCCTAAATTTCCACAAATTCTGTCAGATTCTTTGGAAATGCTGATCCACATTTGCCTGTTTTTGGCTTCTGTGTGGCTTGGATGCTTTTTGCCATTCCTGACATAACTGTTAATTGTCCACAGGTAGTTTCTAGAATATTTTTCTACAATGAAATGCTGGTTAACTTAGAATGTGATTTTAAGAAAGAAAGGTGGTTTACTCTGAAATAGATGAGAAAACAGGAGAAGAAAGAATTTGGATATAGTCAGACATGGAGAATGGCAAAATCAGTTTTCTCCTGTGATCATCTTGGTCTTGCTTGTTTCCTTGTTTTATTTTGGGGGACTGAAGTTTGAACTCATAGCTTAGCACTTACAGAGCAGGTGCTCAACTGCTTGAACCACATCTCCAGTCTATTTTATCTGGTTCTTTTGGAGGTGGGGGTTCATACATGAAATAAGTAAATTACTTTATTTGGCAATGTGTTTTTATTTTCTTGTGTGCATATGATTAGGTTGAAATATGAGGTGTGAGGAAACCCTGGTCATCTGCTTCATTCCAATTTAAAGAGTTTGACCATTAGTCTAAGGTTCACTTCCTTTGTCCTAGCCTATCTGAGTCTCCCCTCCTCAACAGATATGATGAATTTTCTCCGAGGAATATTGAATCTAGAATTGTTTGAGTAAACCTGTTGTTCCATTTTCAGGAAGAATATGCAAGAAGTCACAGTGAATGTGATAAGAGGCACGTGCAGGTCCCGAAGGCCAGGGCAAGTTTTCCCTGAAAGTAGTTATCCCACAAACTAAACCATATGTCCAACAAAGGAAGCCTGATTTACAAGGACTGCTGGAGTATGTTCTTTCAAGTCACCAGTTTAGCATCCCCCCCGCACCCCTCCACTAAGCATTCCCATCAGTCAAGGGCTTGGGGGTTGGGCCCATTATCCATTAGCCAATCAGAGCGGCTGTTTAATCGCCTGCACCACCTGTCCAATGAGGAGCGACAGTGGTAGGCGGTTCACGTTGCCTTCCTCATTATCGCCATATTTCCCACAAGCCTGCTGCCAGTTCTCAGGCTACAGAGCTCCACCAGCTTTGTGCAATGTCACTGTAGGAACATAGGGAGGTCACCTGGACGCATCAGAAGCGGGAAACGGTGAGAGGCAACTGGACATCTACAGTGTTGGGTGCGGGGAATGTTGGATCCAGGAGCAGCGGTGGTTTTGACTGGGACCTGTCTTTCTGGAGTCTGGTCCCTGATCACGTGGTCGGGGCCATCGCTCCGTGGGCGACTGGAGGGTGGCGGTGGACCGGGAGCCTTGGGCTCTGTCCTGTGTCCCTTTGAAGTGACTTCATCCTAGTCCACAGCCCTGCTGGGAAAATAATCTGCAAATTCCTGTTCCACAGACTGAGGTGGCTGGGGAGCCTCCTGAGTGTGTTGTTTGTGGCAGGACAGGGCGCTCCTGTGCCGTGTCCCCATAAATTGTCACTGGGACATGACTTCCCTTTGAGTCCATCAGGTTCAAGGGAAGCCTGCGCTAAACTCTATGCACCTTCCCCTCAATACAGTGCTTCTCCATACTAGTAATCTGTCCTTAAATTTCCTTGAATCCTGCACATTGCCAAATTTTTTTTTTAAGAGGTGGGTGTACTCATTCTTCTGCAATGAGTATTATCAGCTGTCAACTGGCTCCTTATATGGAGTACACAGGGGTTTCACATGCTGACAGAGGGATTGTAAAGCATCTTGAATTGGTTGTAGCGTAATAATGTCCATCTCCAAAGGGACTTGTTATGATTGTAAAATGTCCAACTGTTTTCATATACTTAAAATCCAGGATGATGTTAGAACTCCACTTGGGGCTTTTTCTCACTTTTACAATTTAGAATTTTAATTGAGCCTCAGCAACTAGATCTTTAAAATGAGATAATATTCAAACACTGTAATTAAATTTTTTAAAAGGGCAGTAATAACTTACATACCAACAGACTCAGCCTGGGTTCTGTAGTGATTCACATACTGCTTAATCTGAACATCACGGTTGCTCTCTTGTTCCTTTGTGTTACTGGGGAGCAAATGCCTAGCAAATGAGGATGAGCCATCCACAAGCTCTTACTTAATATCCTCAAGAGATGAGCTGAGGGCCTCTCTCTAGCTCCCACTAAATAATCAGTAGTAATAGGTCTGGTTCTTTTCTAGTTTCCTCTTTTCTTCTAAAAAGCTTCTTCCAAGGATATTAAAGTACTTAATCAGACCACTGAGCTTAGGTAGGTTCAAACTGGGTCAAAGGATAGTCCCGAGTCAGAACTGAGAAAACCAAGTCAAGCTGGGAATGATGGGACCCAATGAGAAGGTAGCAGTGGAGGCTAGACTGGGGATCAGAGAGCATAGCTGAATTGGGCTATTAGGCAAATTATTGTGTGGCTGCCAGGCAGAAAGACTCCGGGGGTCATGCAGAAATTGAAAATGGGAGCTCTAGAGAATGGCTTGGTGAACTGGCATGGTCAGGATTCAGGGAGTACCTGGGTTATGACATCAAGTCCTTACAGAAAAAAAATCAGATATAGGTGGTACACTGATGGAAGCTGCCGGTAATGATGTGATTTAATCTTCTATCCTCAGGCCCTGGTAGGGCATGACAGTGCATAAATACTTAACACATGTTGGTTGAGTTAATGAAATAAGTATTTTTTTTTTTTTTGCTGAACTGAGAAGCTTTTAGCTGGAGCAGGAGTTACTCTTGGGGCAGATCTACTCAGGACTTGCAGGTGTGAACAACCTCAGAGAGATGTTAATGCATTCCTCTATTTAAAATGAGGACTGTGGGCCTGGATTTATAGCGGACTGTCATAGTTAATGGTGTTAAGGATAGTATGGCAATTATTACAGCCATTTGTGTGGATGCTGGAGCTGAGTCTTGAAGCAGAGTGTAAATGGCCAAGAATTCAGGAGTGGAAGAGGATGCCAGGTGGAGGGAACAGCTGTTTCATATGCAGAACAGGGAGGTCAAGGTTGGAGATGAGGCTGGGAGATTGGAGGTCTTCAAATTCTGTGGAGTCCTGTGTCCTTGGCTTTCCTTTAAGAGCTTGAACTTTTAATAATATGTGCTGAATGAATAAATGATTGACAGGTCCATGTAGGTGATGGGGAGGACACAGGCTCAAAGCAGGTCCAGTTTACAGTGTGGAAGATGACTCCTGAAGGTGCTTGACCTGGAAAGCTGGAGGGAACAGTTTTGCCCTGGTAACACAGGAAATAAATACCAAATTCATTGGAAATGCGAACCCACATGTGCACGTGTTTGGCTTCCGAGGGAAGCTGACACTTTTTGCTCTTCGTGACTTAACTGCTGATTTCCACAGTTTCTTTATCTAATGTTTTATAATGAAATGCTGACTAACTTAGACCATGCCTGGAAGAGAATTAGTCTATGGGGAAAGCCCCAAAAGCAAGGTATGTAGGCATCTCAAGGCAGAAAGGGAATTTGCTCTCAAAGAGAGATGAAAGCAGGAGAACAAATAAATTGGGAGTGGACAGACATGGCGATTGGCCAGAATAGTTTTCCCCTATGATCATCATGGTCTTCTGTCCCTATTACTTGTGTAACTTTTCCGGACTGAGGTATGAAGTCACAGTTATGCATTTACAGAACAGCTCTCAACCGCTTGAACCATATATGCAGTCTATTTTGCTCTGCTCATTTTGTAAATGGGGTCAGGGAAACAATTTTTCTAGGATGATTTTGAATGTCATCCTGATGTCAGTCTTCTTATTACCTGGGTTACAGGGAGGATCTACAGTAGTAGGATTTTCCTGTTTTTTTTTTTTTAATGTGCTGGAATTTGAACTCAGGTCCTCATGGTTACTAAGCATGTGCTTTTACTACTTGAGTGACATCACTACCTTTCTTTGTGATGGAATTTTTTGAGGTAGAGTCTCAAGAACTTTATGCTAGCATGGGCTTCGAACCAAGACCCTCCTGATCTCTGTCTCCTGAGCAGCTAGGATTACAGGGATGAATCATAGGGACCTGGATTCTTCATGATCTTATGGAGACAATGAAGTGTGATTTATTTGATGACTCAGGATCAGATTTGTCAAATTGACCTTACAATTATTTACAAGCCATTTTGAGGATATTTCCAATGATTACTTCATAATCATTTTTATACAAAAAAGGTATTTTGATGATGGGTGGAGGAATATCTGAGTTTGCAAAGGGGATAATTGGAAGAAAGTTGGTTGTGTTCTCCTTTTGTAGTGCAGAAAGACTGGTAGTGTGGGTTAATTGTAGATATTTATGAGTGTTATAACTTCAGAATATATCATTTCACAACTTTCCTTTTGTGTTGAGGTAGCTGGTTAGACAGTGTAATTTGTGCTCAGAGAAAGACACCTTTATATATTTCCTGATGGGCCAAAAAGTTGGTGCATTGGGAAGATTATGTGGGTGTGTAGTATAAATTAAATGTTTTGGTCTTTGTGTCAGTTTCCAGCAAAGAGATTCTGAAATCCTTGAAGTTTTTGAAATAATAGGAAAAGCCCCTTTGAGGCAATGCTTATATTTATTCTAATGATTTGTCTCAAAGTGGTACCTCTCTATGACTAGGAAAGTGAATGGTGTGACCAGACAAAGAAACATGTACTAGGACTTGTTGTCTGTTTCACACTGCCCAGAAGTTGGAGGGACTGTGCTAAGTCTGGATGGTGACAGATATGAATTAAAGGACAATTAGTTGGTGTTTGAAAGTTGATTGGTGTTGGTAACACCACATATTTGTTATCAGAAGTGATGTCAAAGAAACACAGCACAAGTCCTAACATTTGGGGTCATTGGGGAAATATTTGGTAATATTACCAAACTGTCCATTCTTGGTACATTTGGCTTGTGTGAGATGAATTCAGGAAGGGATTACAGTAGAGCAAAAGTGATGTATGGTTCATTAAAGAGTACACACTGAATAGACTTCATATGTACTATTTAGACATAAACAATATGGATATACTTAGCAACCCTAAAGTTGTGGAAGAGATCAGAAGGTTTCTGAAAATAAATATTGGAATTTATACATCTCAAAATCAGTAAAATGATGTGCTGTTAATTTAGCTGGTGTAGTACAATCTTGCTGAAATCCTTTATATACCTATTTATTTACTTATTGATTACTCAGGGTGTTGTGACTGATAAGGCATTCACTACACCACTTGAGCCAGTCTGATAGGTACAGTCCTTTATTAATTATATTATCACATTTTCTGTACCCCTTCCTGAAAACAATGTTTAAAATGTATTGTTTGTAATTTTATGAATGTATAAAATCCTTTTCTAAGTAAGTTAAATGCATTTCAAATAAAGATGTGGTTCTTCATGGACAGGACTGGCATATTGGTATGTTCTCCACTATTGTTCTTCAACCCATATACGACTGTTCTTACTAAATGTTCATATTATAAGGTATGATCACCTAGTCCATAGTTCACTTTTAATGACTTTAAGCAAAGGTTTTCCTTTGCTAGTAGTGAGGAAGAAAGTAAAGAATTTTTGTTCATTTCTTAATTACCTAACACTGTTTTTCTTTATGTGATCTGTGTTCTTAGCTTATATGTCTTTGTTTCTGTCTAGAGAATTTTAAAATTGGAAAACATTCAGATACTGGTAACACATTCTGTGAATTTTAAAATGTTTTCTTTCTGTTTTGCTGCATAATTTCATTCACTTTCAAATTGATTGTTTATTCTTGTTGTTCTTGTCCTCCATTGAGAACCTATAGTGATGGTTTCATTGAACTTCTTGTATCTCTATCTTCATAATTACTATATAATCCTTTGATGATTTCTAAGTCTGTACTGATATCTTCTTTGTACATAGCATTTCCAGTTTGCTGTTGTTTGCCTACAATCCTTTGATTCTAATTTTGACTGTTCCAGGAAAGGCTTTGTGAAATGTATCTATTGCCTATGACTTTTCAGGAATGAAAATTCTCATTCTGAAAATAGAATTTTGGACCCAAGGCCCAATCTCCTTAGATGCCTTATTCTACTTCCAGCTAATTACCCTTCAATTTCAACAAAAGAAGCAGAGAAAGGAGAATTATTACACAGCTAGTTATATGCTGTGGCATGAAGCAGTGTAAGCACTGAGCTCATGCTCACCATATGCATGTCACAGACATGAAATTGGCAAAGATTGAAATAGGCAAAGAACAGGGGGCAGGGACCAGAGATATGCATAGGTAAAGGGTTCCAGTCATAGGTATGGTCTAGTTGTTATCACTCAGCTATAGTTTGGGAGAGGTTCTGCAGTTGTTATCCAAAGGATGATCCTACCAAAGGAGGATGATCCC